TAGCAATCTCAAATCCTCCTGGAAATAAATGGGCATATAAAACCCAAATAAATATAGGGAAAGTCTAGTGAATCCAGTGCAGTGATTAAAAGCACAGGCCGTGGACATGACCCATGCTGCCACTTGTGGTCCCACTGCCTCAGATGTGTCATTTCACTTCTAAGTCAGTTTCCTTATTTGGAGAATGGAGTCATATTGATTCCCAAGTCATACTGTCTCATGAGATGCTCCTTCAAACCATTTAGTTCAGTTCCTGGCTCACAGGTAGTCAACAAACATTCATTTGCCATAATGTTATTTTGGAACCCAAGTTGTCCTGCATTTCACTTCCATTTTTAAAAATTTTATTGGTTTACTCTATTTTCTCCGATTCACTGAGCCATGATTCATCATCATCCCTCACCCCCACCTGTCCTCACTTTTCTTACATCCCACCTGGCTAAACTGCATCCCTGCTGAGTCTGGCCATCTGCTTTGCCTACAGGAAACAGTAGAGCGAAAGGCACAAGGGTGCTCTGCTACTAAACACTTGTGTATCTTCAAGTGAACTGCTCATCACTTTTGTAAAATGAAGATGATGATAGTAATACCGGATGACTCATTGGATGTAGTCAAGTTTAAATGTGACTATGTACTTAGACTTGAACTAACCATAGTCAGCTCTCAGTAAATGTTCACTAGGATTCTCTTTATTGGTATTACTTTATGCATGGGATGACAGAAGGAAGTTGGGAAAAATCACATACCCAGAACCATAAACACCAGAATGGTTCTTGAGAAAGTCTGGCAACTCTGTTTATCTCCCTAGTTTGTCTTTTCTCCAGTGCCTTTCCCCACTATATCACGCCATCAGCTCTACTTCAGATCTCCTTCACTGTATGCTGACGACCTTCCCTTCTGTTGCATGGGAGAAACAGTGGTCATGGGACCAGTACCACTTCATAAGATCACCATCTGATGTATAACTACCCACACCTGTATTCACTGACTCCACCTTCTCTATAATTCAGTGGGCAAAGGGTTCTTGCTTCCGTCAAAAGCCAACCAATCCTTGGGGTCTACATTCCCTCCTCTGTGACTTTTCCAAGGACTGTCATCCTGAAGTTACCCCTCTTCTCTCTGCATCTTTGGTTCCTCCCTAAGGCAACTCCCACAATGATCCTCAACTCCTGGTATTCATCCCTTAAGTGTGGGTGGAACCCAGGACTCACATCTAACCAATAACAAAGATGATAGTTTCGTTGCTCCTGTGATTACAGTGCATTATATCAGACTCCAACTCTCTACCATAAAGGTGGTAAGATCTTCCTTGCTGGCTTGATGAAGTAAGAGTCCAAGTCAAGGAAGCTCACATGACAAAGCACTGTCAGTGGAAAGAGGGGTTCTAGGAGCTGAAGGCAGCCTTCTGGTGACTGTCAGCAAGAAGCTGGGAAGCTTTGCTCTACAGATGCAAGGGGGTGAATTCTGCTGACAACCTGGGTGAGCTCAGAGGTGGCTCCTCCTCAGTCCAGCCTCCCAATGAGAACATAGCCCACCCAATACCTCGACTGCAGCCTGTGCAACTTAGCACAGACCCAGGGATACCAAGCCTGGATTCCTAACCTGTAGACCTCTATTTTAAGTGATAGCTGTTGTAAGTTAAAAAGTTTGTGGTACTTTGTTACATTGCAATAGAAAACAAATATGCTTGCCCTCTCCCAGATAGGCCCATCATGCACTACAGTCTACTGTATCCTGTCACAAAAAAAAAGATCAAGACCACATGCCCTCCAGATGCTCTGCTTCTCTCTGTTCTCCTTTCCAACACAACTTGTAAAAAAGTCTCCCATATGCCCACTGTGTCCTCAACTCCATTCACCGCTCAGCTCACGCTAGTCACATCACTGACTCACATTCTTTTGTCAAGGATAAGTTCCACATTATCAAATCTGAATGAACATGCCTCAATCCTTATTCAATATCCCAGAAGTATTCAGGACCATTTAGTGCTCCCCATTTTCAGAACTGTTTCTTCTCTTGACTAACTGGTCTTCATATCTCCCAGTTTTCCATCATCATTCATGGTTGCTGCCTTCTCCTCCTACACCCAAACCTGCTGCCCGAGCAGTGCTATGCCGCAGGGTCTGGCCCTGAGTCTCCTGTCTTGGCCTACCTCACTCTCTCTCTAGTCTCAGCTTCAATGACCTCAAGATGCTGGTGACTCCCAAATGTTTCTCTCCAACCCTGACCTTTCCCCTCAGCTCTACACCCTATAGCCGTGCCTAACTGCAGCTTCCACTTGGATGTCTAACTGTCATCTCAGGTGTAACATGTCCAAAACATGGCTCTGTTCCCTCCCCAAAATCTCTCATCCTCCCAATTTTCCCAACTGCAACAAATGGCACATCTAACCAGCCTGCACATGGGGACGACATCGTGAATTCTCGTTCCTCCTCCCATTCCCGTATACCAGCAAGTTTTTGCAGGTCGATTTTCACAACAGATTCTGACTCTGTCCACTCCCCTCTAATTCCCTCCTGTTAACCTAGAGGACACTGCTCTCACCTCTTTCTTGGACTACAGCACCTAGCTGGCCTCCTGCTTCCCCTGCCGTCCACTGCATTCCTCATGGCATGGCCTTTTAAAAACACAAGGCATCTTGTATGCTTTTACTGTTTAAAACTTTCCAACGTCTTTGCACTCCACTTTCAAAAGGCCCGCCAGGCTCTATTTGTTGCTGGCCTCAACCTGCCTCTTTGGTATATCTCCAACCTACCAAGTCCCAGCCACTCACATTTTCCTCCTTCCCACATCAAGACTTTTACAATTGTTATTCCTTCTTTCTGGAAAGATCTTCCTTTCATGCTGCATGGCTTGGACCTCAGGTCAAACATGTCCCCCTCAGGGAGGTCTCCCCACTAACAGCATTCTCCTCTTCCTCCTAGACTATGAGGTACCACCATTACCATTTCCCTCTCATCGTGTATCACAATCTCAGGCAACCATGCTTATTTATCTGCTGGTCTGATTGTTGCTATGACTACTATCACCAGATGTGAGTATATAGAAGGGCTTACCTCTGTGTCTTAGAATAGCACCTGGCACATCATAGGTGCTCAATAAATATTTGAATAAATGAATGTATAGATAATGTGGACATTTTTATATGCATTTATAATGAAATGTCCCGTTACATTACATTAGAAAATCTCTTCAGATTCAATGCCAAGATGGCTGAAAAGCAGTAAAAACTTATACAAATTATACCTCAAACTACATTAAGTATTAGTTTGTATTAAACATACATTTCTGAAAAGTGGGCAAACCAAAACATTATGAAATTAAACCCATTTTGAAAGAATGTAACACAAATTTGTTAGGAGATGTGAAAAATCACTTTTGATCATGTAAACTATCACACCCTAGTTATTCTGTATTTATAGATTTTATTTCTCCCCCTTCGTTGGGTTTGCTTGGATCACAGAGCATAAATTATAATTAATTTTGTATCACAAATTGTTCAAGCACTGTTTAAATCACAAGTAATATTTTCAATATTTCTGGGCAAAAATGCTAAAGATTCATTACTCCTATTTCTCAATGTCACTGATATCATATGACTTAATTCGAAACCCAGCTATGTCCTATAGCCCTCCAACGCAGGCCTTTTAACAGGCCATGGTAATGAGCGTGGTCATGGTCTGGAGTCCAACAAGTAACTGCCAAAACTATCTTCCCAAATGACTACTTACGGAAAACTTCTCATTCCCAGAGCAGATACTTCCAGGGTGGTCTAGGAAAGAAATCTGTGGCCATACCTACTCCAGGGCTCTTCTAAATACTGATGTTTAAGGTGTTTTTGGAACTACAATGTCATGCTTTCAGTTGACTTTTATGGGAGCTCCGGCAAAAAAAAAAAATTTCCAAGTGTCTATTAAACTCACTTGTTTATGTAATTTTTCCTTCCTAATACACCAAAATCTTCTGAAAACTCCAGTAAGCAGTTATGCAGTTGACTTTAAGATCCAATGTTGAGAAAAAGCACTCCCTCCCTCCTTACCACTTGCTGCCCTCAAAACTTCTTAGCAACACACACTGTGCATGAACCTCGGCCTGGTTCGCCTTGTCCAATCGCATGCCTGCAAGCCCAGCCAGTCAGTTGTGTAATAATAACCCCCTTTTCTCCTGAAGATACAGAAACAGAACGATCTCGGTGCTTCAGTGGACAGGAACTTCGCTGGAATCCTCAGCACAAACTCACGTTCATTTTCAATGCCAGACCCACCCCGCCCCGTCCCCCAATTTTCTCGATTTCCTCCTTTTTATCTATTTGCAATTTTCAGGATAGAAAAAAAGCCAAAATGCTAAACAATGTCAAGTGTAAACAGGGGAGGGCGGGGGCACTGCCAACGATGCCAGCAAAATTCATGTAGAAACCACGGGCTTGGCGGTGCCTGCACTGGGCTCACTGGTTCCCTCCCGACGCCTGCGATGGAAACTCGGCAACAATTGTTCTGGGATGGAGAGGGGCTGAGGTGAACAAGACAAGCTGCCTGCTAGTAGCAATGAGCCAGACTAGCCCTCAAATTCCGGGCAAGGGGACACTCATGCTTCCTCGAGAAGAATAATATCTCACCCCTCCTGCCTCGCCTGTCCTCACCTGGTGCAAATCGGCGCCTACCTCGTGCCAGCTCCAAGTTCCCGACCTCACGGGGACAAATGGCCTTTTCCTGCACCCACACGATACCCCGCCTTTGAAAAGGGGCAGCGGCCTCCCTCAAAGGGGCCGGGACAGGTGCAGCGGCCGGGGCGGGACCGGGGCAGAGGCAGAGCTGAGTAAACCTGGACCCCCTACTACCCGCGCGCCTGACACACCCCTCCCGGGCTCCTCCCCCAGCCGTCCCCTCCCGGGTCCCCGGGCCCCTCCCGGGCCGTCCTCTCAGGCTCCCAATCCCCTCCCTGGCCCGTCCCGCCTCGTCCTGTGCCCTCCTGGGTCTGCCGGTCCCGCGCTCCGCACGCACCTTCAACGCACCCCGGGCTGGGCCCCTGGGGACCGCGCGGCCCGGGCCGAGAGGCAGGAAGCGCTCTTCGCCGTACTCCTCGTCGTCGTCGCCGTCGCCGTCCACCACCTCGATGACCCCCTCCTCGTCGTCCTCCTCGTCGTCGTCATCGTCCTCCTCCGCTCCCCCTCGGGGCTTCTCCCGCACCCGCCCGAGACCCCGCCGCCGCCGGCTCACGCCCTCCTCGTCCTCGTCCTCCTCGCCCAGCAGCAGCAACACAGGCGACGCGGCGGCCCCGGAGGCCCGAGGGGGACCGGTCCCCGTGCTCCGAGGCGGCGGCGGGGGCAGCGGCGGCCTCCCGCTCTCGGGCGCGGTGCCCGGCGGGTGCAGCGCCGGGCTCCCGCGGCGGCCGCCCTGGCTGGAGCGCTTGGCCAGGCGGCGCGCCTGCATGCTTGCCGCCAAGCTGTCCCCTCCTCTCCGCTCCCTCTCGCTACTACGGTTTCTCCCGCGGTCGCTGGCAAGCACGCCGGCCCGGGCTTCGGGGCTGCGGCGGGGCTACGGCCGGGCTACGGCGGAAAGGGGGTGGGTGTGAGCGAGCCGAGCGCTGTCACCTCAAACGCCGCCGCCAACGCCGCCGCCGCCGCCCTGGAGCCGCAGGCCGCGCTGCGCCCCATGCGGCCGGCGGCCGGGCCCGCGCCTCTCGGGCCTACCGCGGCCGCCCGAGCGCTAGCTGTCGGCGCTGCTGCCACCGCGCCAGCCCGCCGCCCGCCCTCAGCCTTCGGCCCCCGAGCCGGCAAAACCTGGACTGGACTACTTCCCGACCGGCGTCTTCCAGATCCGGGGCTTACGAGAGGCCGGGCCGACGCAGGCCGCCTCCCCCACCCGAAGCCGGCGACTCCCTGTGGACGGAGGACCGCGCACTTCGCTGCGACTGGGATGGTTGGTCAAAGTCAAGACTCTGAAGGAAACAGTTTGCCTCCGCAAGTTCACTTGAATGATCTCTGCAAGTTCATTTGAATGGTCTGCGTGGCGGCAGCTCCTGAGCTTCTGTGCTATCGGGGAATGTGTCCCCATCGGAGATTGGAGTCAATCCCTAAAATGAGTCACCAGACCCATCTGGATTCTTGAAACACGTTCCTGGCGTTGCCTGCCCACCTGTCAGTCTCTGAGAGCACGCCTCTAGGCCCTGCCTGTCGAGCAATGCGGGCCCTTGTGAAGTCTTTACTTTCAGCATTTATTTCTGAATTCTTACCTGGAGTGCTTGGTTACAGCGGCTACACGCCAGGAAGATTTCTGCTCGCTGTTGGGGCCTTTGGAGAAAGAAACAAGTTGGCCTGTTTCAGACTGCTTGAATTTGTTATTTATTTATTTATTTTTTAAATTAGTGTGAAGTGAGATCAAGCCTGGAAACCAATAACCAGTTTGCCATTTAACACTGTCACTTTCTGAGGATTTTTAGGTGTGACACAGAAAAGTCACTTGCTACTGCATGGGATTAGGTTATTTGGTAAGCCATGGCCTTTACACTCAAATCACATGCCAAATTCCACCTCTGTAGGTGAGACCTAGGGGGACACCTAACTCACCCAGAACTCTGGCAGGCGCCTCCAGGAAGATGAACTCACCCTCAGCACACTTTCCCTGTAATTACTGTTGGAGAACATCATGTGCTCTGTAAGACACTTGAAGGAGCTCATTAAATGCTCACTTACGGTGTCTTCCAACTGTTGAATGGGGATGATGACAAAAGTTATAAAATGAACTTCTTGTTCTCCCTGAATCAGATGAGCTTCCTGATAGACCTATTTCAGGTAATGACATTCTCATTATAACCATTCTGACCCAAAATAGCAGGATCATTTTTAACTGCCTTCTCTCTGGTATCTCTAGAGGCAGTTGCCCACTGGTAGGATCCACCGTTCTGTCTGAAATATCTCTGGAATCCACTCCTTCCCTTTCATTCCCATACTTGCTACAGTATTCATGGCTACCAAGTGAAAGTTCCCAACCAGCTCTCTCCTCCCCCTTCCTCAACCACACTCCACTCTTACTCCTCCACATACCAGCACCAGATTCATCTTCCCCAGACCATAGATCTCTCCCCCTTCCCCTTCAGATCACAGCATTTTTAAGACTTCAGAGAGTGAGAAGGTTGAGCATTTGAGGGATGGGCATGTAATAGTAGGGTCCAGCCAAGAAGTAAACTAATCAAATCCGTGAGTGCTTAGAAAGAACAGAAAAGAGCCACTGAGTGGGTTCACCCCAATTGCAAGGAATTTGTTTTGGTCGATTTGGGGGCTGATTTTACAGAAAGGCAGCAGGGTCTTTCTCTGACCAGAAGAATAAAAGATCAGGGCCAGGGCTTGGCTGACAGGTAGAGCGATAAAGAAGGATGAAGGTATGAGGCAAGTGGGGAAGTACCTGGATTCCAGTCCTGGCTCTGAAACTTACCATCTACATGTACTTACTCATCCTCTCTCTGTGCCTCAGTTTCCTCATCTGTTAAATAGGGATAATAGCAATCTCTATATAATAGTAAACTTGTTTTTTAGGATAATAAGTTATCCTACAAATATGTGTAATATGTATAATCAGCTTAGAAGAGTAGCTGGTACAGGAAGGTCTGTATAAAGGTTCTTATAGTGAATGTATTGATAGCAATATACAACATAGCTTGGGATGCTGACAAAGAACAAGTTGACTCTTTTAAGTAAGCTCAGAACTGTCAATAACTAGCAAAAAAGGTGCTTTTAAAGCCTGACTACATTTTATCAAGAGGCTATGGTCAGGCCAAGAATAAAGCTTTTTATGTCTGAAATTGCCATAGATGAAAGCAAGTAAACATTGTCCTGAAAACTGACAGGAAAAACAAGATTAAGCGAGTCCATGGCTGATATTTGTGGTTTAATGGAAGAAGTACTAATTTACATTGTTGTTCTTTCTTTCAAAATTGCTATAAATGCTTTGAAATCAGCTTGTTCTCTTTTTCTGGTCACCTTATCAGAGCCCATGCACATCTCCAATTCTTGTCCCCACTAGGCCTGAGAGGCTGCTCCCTGAGGAGAAGAAAGTCTGGCCTTGGTATTGGAACCATTAAGTGAAGGCAGATGTCACAGAAGAGGTTGGCTGAGCTGGGCTGTGAGGGATGAGAAGGATCTAGATGGGCAGGGACATGCAGGCCATTTAAGACCAATCTCGTGACATTAGAGGACATCACTGGGAAGTAAAATCAAATGACCTAATTCACTAGGAATCAAGAATTGTCTCATGATAGGGGCTCATGACACACTGCACTCATGATATGGGATTTGACATCAAATAATGTCTCATAATGTCAAGCAAGTACAGAGAAGTCATTACTGTTTCATTCCCTCAACGCTCCCTAAACGTCACGCATTGTTACTTCCAAAACCAGGCACACTGGCCACTAGGATGAGGCGCCCTCTCTATCATCTGGTGGTCCAATTTAACACATCATCATTGAGAAAATAAAGCAGAAGAGAGGCTCGAGAGAGCTGTGGGTTAAATATAAAAATAAATACTATTTAAGACCTACTTAAAATAATTGATTTATGATTTATAATTCTATTTTTTTCCTTTGCCAAATCTTTTTTTATTGTTCAAATACATCTGTCTCCATTTTCCTCCCATCACATTCTCCTGCCCCACCCACCCCCAACTCCCACCCTCAATTTTCCCCAATTTGGCTTTGTCCATGGGTCCTTTATACAGGTGTCTTGATTCAATCCTTCCCCTGCTTTTCCCCATTATCCCCATCCCTCCTTCCTTCTCGTTACTGCTGGTTTCTTTTTTCTTTCAGTGTTGCTGGTTATATTTTCCTTGCTTGTTTGTTTTGTTGATTAGGTTCCACTTCTAGGTAAGATCATATGGTATTTGTCTTTCACCACCTGGCTTATTTCACTTAGCATAATGCTATCCAGTTCTATCCATGCTGTCATGAAGGGTAGTAGCTCTTTCTTTCTTTCTATTGCGTGGTATTCCATTGTGTAAATGTACCATAGTTTTTTGACCCACAGATTTATTGTTGGGCACTTAGGTTGCTTCCAGCACTTGGCTATTGTAAATTGTGCTCCTATGAACATTAGGGTGCATAGGTTCTTTTAAATTGGTGTTTCGGGATTCTTAGGGTATAATTCCATGAGTGGAATAGCTGGATCAGAGACAGTTCCATTTCTAGATTTTTGAGGAAATTCCATATTGTTTTCCACAGTGGCTGCACCAGTCTGCATTCCCACCAACAGTGCACTACGGTTTCCTTTTCTACACAACCTCGCCAGCACTTGTTTGTTGTTTTGTTTATGATGGCCATTCTGACCATTGTGAAGTGGTATCTCATTGTGGTTTTAATTTGCATTGCTCTGATGGCTAGTGATGCTGAGCATCCTTTCAAATGTGTTTGGGCCCTGTGTATGTCCTCCTTCGAGAAGTGTCTGTTCAGGTCCTTTGCCCATTATTTAACTGGATTGTTTGTCTTCCTGGAGTGGAGTCAGGTGAGTTCTTTATGTATTTTGGAGATCAACATCCTTGTCCAAGTTATCATTGGCAAATATATTTTCCCATATGGTTGGTTCCCTTTTAATTTTGCTGATGTATTCTTTAGCCGTGCAGAAGCTTCTTATTTTGATGAAGTCCCATTTGTTTATTCTTACCTTTATGTCCCTTGCTGTAGGGAACATATCGGTGAAAATATTGCTGCATGGAATATCCGAGAGTTTCCTGCCTATGTTCTCCTCTAGAAATTTTATGGTGTCATGATGTATATTTAAGTCTTTTATCCATCTTGAGTTTATTTTTGTGTATGGTGTCAGTTGGTGGTCGAATTTCAATATTTTGCATGTAGCTCTCCAGCTCTCCCAACACCATTTGTTGAAGAGGCTATGTTTATTCCATTTTGAGCTTTTGCCCCCTTTCTCAAATATTAACTGATCATAGAGACTTGGATTTATTTCTGGGCTCCCTATTCTGCTCCATGGATCTATGTGTCTGTTCCTATGCCAGTAGCAGACTGTTTTGATTACAGTGGCCTTGTAATGTAGTTTGATGTCAGGTATTGTGATCCCTCCTACTTTGTTCTTCCTTCTCAAATTGCTGCAGCTGTTTGGGGTCATTTATGGTTCCATATAAATTTTTGAAATGCTTGTTCTATATCTGTGGAATACATCATTGGTATTTTAATAGGGATTGCATTGAATCTATAAATTGCTTTGGGTAGTTTGGACATTTTGATTATGTTAATTCTTCCAATTCATGAACATGGTATATGCTTCCATTTATTTGTGTCTTCCTTAATTTCTTTTGTTAGTGTGGTGTAGTTTTCTGAGTACAGGTCTTTTACCTCCTTTGTTAAGTTTATTCCTAGGTATGTTATTTTCTTCTTGCTATATTAAAGGGGAATTTTTTCATGATTTCTGTTTCTGATATTTCATTTTTGGAGTACAAAAATGCCTTTGATTTCTTAATATTAACTTTGTATCCTGCTTTTTTGCCAAATTTACTTATTATGTCAAGATGGGGTTTTCTATGTACACTATCATGTCATCTGCAAACAATGACAGTTTTCCTACCTTCTTTCCAATTTGGAAGCTTTTTATTTCTTTTTCTTGTCTGATCACTGAGGCTAGGACTTCCAATACTATGGTGAATAGAAGTGGAGAAAGTGTGCCATCTTATCTTGTTCCTGATCTTAGTGGGAAAGCTTTTAGTTTGGGCCTGTTGAGTATGATGTTGACTTTA